TACCCAGGAGGGTCCCTTCCAAGATTTTCCAAGAAACTCTCACCATCTGCTCCCAATTACCAAAATTGCTTCTACCATAATGAAGCATTTTGCATCACTAGGAAACATTTATTGAGTGCCTATTGTATACACATTATAGCAATGTCAGTTGCTGCTCTGGGAAACCAAAGTTGGAGAACATATTTTCACCCAAATGATTTGCTTGGGATTGTCTGCCCCTACAGGTATCTAAGAAGAGTGAAAAAGACCCAAAATACTAGAGAGAGAAGAATCCAGAACTCTAGATAGGCACTGTAGGGCAGAGTGGAGGGCAGCAAGATAGAAGAAGAGGTAGAAGTCATGTGTGTTCTCTGCAGTGCGACCACTCACAGTCAGTCCTCTCTGAAATGATGTGTGTATTTTTCTGAAACTCATGAAATGTGCTTTGTAAATGGATCTCCTAAAGAAAACACACAGGCATGTGAATTTTGCACCTAGAGTGATATGGGGTGAAATAAAGTTTATAAATTCAGGGACCACAGGCATAAGTTGACCCAGGGATTGCAAAATTGGTTCTTGACTTAGCAGAGCTTAAAATCCAGTGAAGGAAAAAGATACATACTCATAGGCCTAAAGATATAAAGGGCCAAAAGAGTGAAAGTGAAATTACAGAAGTTCCATTGGCATTTAGAGAGAGAATCTCCATGAGCTGATTATTGGAGAAAAAGCATCAAAACAGGGTACCTGGACTGGCCTCTGATATTAATTTTTCAGTTTGGAAATCAATGTCTCCACCAAAATGCATGGACATAATGGGAGGAGAGGACTGAATGAGATGATTAGAAAAAATTCTATGACTAGAATTATTTCCTGGTAAAAGCATTTTTGTGAATGTTATTTGATTTTAAATTGGAATATCTGTATCTCATCATAAACTCTGAGACATGAATCCACAATCTGTAAAAAGGGAATTCTCTAATGAGAAAGAAGGACTATGTCCATTCCTTGAGGTTTTCAATAGAAAAATTTGAAGAAATGCCCTCTCAGGTTTATAAACATTGCAGTATATTTTTAAAATTTATACTTTACAAATTACACTTTTACTATGACACACAAATAATAGCCAACACTTACTATTTCTAGTGCTTAAAAAGCATATTGTCATGGAATCCTGAATAATTCTGTAAAGTATTTGTTATTCTTATACCTATTACGCCATGAGGATACAATGAGTCACAGAAAGATGGTGTGACTTGCCTTAAGTCACACAGTATGAAGAGGTGGAGCCAGAATTGGAAAGCAGGCAGTTTGACTCCAAAACCCACACCTCAGCTACTATACCAAAAAATTATCTGTATATCCTCCTTTGGAGAAAATGTCGAAGTTTGCATTTAAGATCTTTCAGGATCTAAACACAGACACACACTTTCTGAGGTAGGCTTGGAAGAGACATGAGCCTAAACAACTTAGATACATGTGCATATATGGAAAAAATCATATTCTTATTGTGAGGGGGAATGAGGTATTGGGGATCAACCCTGGATATAGAAAAGCATCAGAAGAGTAACCCATCCACAGAGAGCAATAGTCAATGCCTAAACTCCTGTCCCTGAGCTCTCTTGCTCAGTCACCAAGTTCTACATCCACACAGGCATGGAATGAAATTACACCAACTAATTGTGTTCTGCAGCTCTGCATAGGTTACCCCAAGTGCAAAGGGACAGCGTTTCTTATAATTAAGTCTCAAGATTAACTCCCCATTAAAATAAATGAAGAAAGTACATTCATCCCAGTGATATTTTAGTCTGGCTGCTGATTCAGCAAAATTAGCAGAGACCAATTTACATTCTCAAGAAAGGCGGACGGGGGTGGGGAGGGTCAATGGAAATGCCTCATGAAAAAGAAGGCAAATTTAGGTCATGGTTTGAGATCTCAACCAAATGGGCCACAATGTAGTTTATTTATGTCTGTTAATTCCCAATTGCTAGCATGTGATGTGTGCCTGGCTTAGAATCAGGAAACCTGGGCTCTAGTCCAGTTTCTCCTACTTGCTAGTGCCATGACTATGGAAAAGGCATTTGGCCCCTCTGCATTCATTTTTCTCACTGTTAAAACAGGGATCACATGCCAACCTCACTGAGCTTGGGCAGGGTGGAGGGGGTGTGTCCTTGCGGGTGCAATATGTATAGAAGTCCTCTCAGGACTCCATAGGCCACAAATGGCATAACCTTATTCATATCATCATTAATGAGAACAAGGCCAACCAATCCCATATTACAAATATTTCTTCCATCTGAATCATTCAATTCAGATGACAAATTTTACAAAGAGCTCAAGCCAAGAGCTGAGGATCAGGGGCACTTGGCTCCAGGACTTCCAGGCCAGAATTGTTAGAAACAATGGTTCTACTTGAAGAAGGACCCTTCTAACCTTCCATTATCTGGAACAAAATGAGGTTACTAATTTAGAAACACAACTGGGTCCATTCTTGGCTAACCAAATTAATCCTTCTCTAGTGACTGAGAAGGATTAATTGATGTAATGTTTGAGAACATTAAATGCCACAAGCTGTTAGCAAGCTGTTAGTAAATGTTAGTAAAACAAGTTAAATTGTTCTGCAATGCAGGAAATGCTACTCCATGGTGATAATGGGGGAAAACAAGATAGAACTGAAATACTGTATTAATCAAGTACTAACTCTGGTCTGATTGGGGGAATGGAGGACGAGACCTGTCTTCCTCCTATCACTAGAATGAATCATGCTGAATGGCAAATAACAAGTACTCAAAATACAAAGGAGAAACTATCCTAATGGGGCAAGGGATAAGCTCTTCTGAAAATGAATTGTTTCTGTCCCCTTAAGGTCAAATATAGTACATAGAACTGCCTAGCACTCGTGGAACTTCTATTGAAAATTAATGATGGATAAATGGTCAATAAGTGTAATATGTTTTAATACTCTGTTATTCTGTACACCCATCTCTGCTATTCTTAAATTCCCATTTTCCTCCCATCACATCTCCATGTCTTTCCCAATTTTTATTCTCAAGACTTTCTCCAAAAATTCCTTATATTCTTAATAAATTTCCACTGGAAGTTCCTTCATAGCTGATGGATATGAATATTTAACTGTGTGTGTTTATTACATAAGTATGGGAACAATATTCAGTGGAGAGTTTTAAATTAGAAACAACTGACTACAATTCCATGTGGTCACGTCAATGATTATTTTCCAAACCAAATATTTGCATAGAGTTAGAGTTTAGTCTATGTACATTGGGGGCCTGATTTTTACATGAAATGCTATAGTATAAACATTGCCATGTTAAATTTCTCCCAGTAACATTTATTAATGGTCATATCTTGGGCAACAAGCTTTTTGGAAAACTTAGGGTACTTTCTTCTCAAAACAGTATTTTAAGCAACAGAACAACATTAGTAATAATAGTAATGACAGTGATGACAGTGGCTCACAGTCACAGCCCCCACATGTAGTTGTGTGGGTTGAATGTGGCACAGCTCTTGAGGCCATTGCTGACAATTTTGATCACTGTAGATCTATACTTTTCTAATGCCAGTATGCCAACAGAGAGCAGGTAAGTGAATGAGGACTGGCTTTATCTAACCGGGCTAATGGTGAGCTGTCCTCATTTTCTAAATCTGTACCACGTGGCAGGCTCTGCTCAGTGAGCTTTTCCCACATGACCTCCTGTAATGCCCTCAACTATCCTATGAGTATAGAAACTATTAATGTCAACCACATTTTGCAGATTAGGAAACTGAATCCTTAGTTGTCTCCAGAGTTCAAGTCCACCCAAATAAGTATTTACATCTGTTATACTGACTTTAAATGGATAGCAATGGTATCGGTATAGCCACACATTATCTACATGTGAAATAGTGCTTTGCTTCTCATAGATTCTTTCCTCAAAGGGTTAAAAGGTAGGTCCATATTTAAGGGTCACAGAAATCGATTTTGCCACCAAAAATGTAGCTAAGGTCCATTGCATCTACTCTTTCTTTATTCAGAAAATATGTATTGATCAACACTATGTTCCAGGTACTGTTGCAGGATTTGGAGAAAGACCAGTAGGCAAACACAACATTTTCTTGCCTTGAAGAAGCCTAAAATTAAATGGAAAGCTCACACTCCAGTGTGGTATGTGGTATGCTTATTCCTGTTTCCTAACTGGATCTGTATAAAATGTTAACCTCACCATTTAGATTTACATTTTTAATAAGTGGTAATAGAGAACATGGATCCCAGGAAACTTCAGCAGTTGTTGCTCTCACGTGGACAGGTGAGTGGTGGAACAAAAGCAGAAAAGGCTGAAAGTACTAGGAATTATTTCCCCCTTCTGAACACTCCTATAGCACTTTGTTTACACAATATCATCATGCTTTATTATGTAGTTACTTATGTGTGAGTTGAGAGTCATTTCTAGAATTCTTTCAGGCAGGAGTCCTACGTGAAACTTAAAAAAAATAACAGTTCTTTGTAGGCACTCAGTAAGTAACTGTTAAATGAATGAAAACACTACATGAATGACCACTTACATCAAAGAAGTGAATAAGATGGAAGAATTAATAATTTATTACACACACACACACACACACACACACACACACACACACACCATTCACTGAGTAAGTGTCCTTTTTTTTTTAAAGGACGTTTCAGAAACCATGACTACATACTTAATTTGTTTGAGCATACCACACACGCAGTGATTTTTAATACTCTTTTACACTGTTTCCAAATCTTACCTGAGCATAAAATCAGTTTTGAAAACATTTATTCCCAGGTTCTGATATAGCTGGACTAGGAATCTACTTTTAACAAGCTTTGCAGGTGAGTCTTATAACCAGGCAAAATTTTAAAAAGCTGCTCTTAAAAGATGTGTGACTGTCAGACCTCACACTGGATTAAAAATAAGAATAGAGGGTTCTGAATAGGTGAGCAGAGTCTCTAGTATCATATTCAATGCAGGTATAATAGATAAGATTTGAGGTTCACCTACCTGTCTCTTAGAAATGGATTAGATGCCACTCTGCTTCGTTGCCACCTCAGTTTTGAAAATGGGCTCATAATGTGTCCATGGATAGGAGGAGGAATAACTTTGTTGCCTGTAACAGGGTGAATGCTAGGTATAATAGATACACCATAATTAGACAAGCAGAAGGTATTACTGTGTCAGAAAATGCTTCCCTGAAAATGGAATCTGTATTAAATGCTGCCCAGGCTCTCGTGCTCTAGGAGGAGGAATCCTGCCTGTTTCAAGCAATCCTCAAGAATTGTGCATATACAATTCTTCTCACCAACATACAAACCTCAGAAAAACTCTGTGAAACACAACAATTTATTTCCTATGTATAAACCAGTGGAATGTCTTTATATGTCCCCAGACTTGTCCTTAATGTAAGAATGTGCACACACAAGAATGTTCACAGCAGCCATATTCCTAACAGCCCCAAACTCAAACAACCCAAATATCCATCAACAGTAAAAGAGTGAAATCAACTGGAGTATATTCACAGAAGAGAACATTTTACAGCAATGACACTAAATCACTGCTACGACCACATGAATGAATCTCACAAACACAATAGCTGTGCAAAAGAAGTCAGACATAATAAAGTTTACATATTGGATAATTCCATTTATATAAAGTAGAAAACCAGCTAACTGATCTAAAGGATTAGATGTCAGGAGAATGATTACGTGGGGAGGCTGATTACTGGGCAGGGGCAGAAGGTGGCTTCTGGTGGTGGTTCTTGATCCTGTTGCTGGTCATATATGTAATTTCGTGAAAATGTACTGAGCTATATACTTAGAATTCTCACACATTTCCGAATGTATGCCATATACCAATGTACCATTTACTTCCAGAAAAAAAATAACTGATTACGTTTCTTCTCAAATTCATAGGATAGGAGAATTTTTGCCTTGTTATCTTCACTGATACACAGTCTCCTGTCCTATAGAGAAGAGCTACAGAGAGTTTGTGTAGGAAATACATGACAATTCTCAAATGCAAAAATTATGCCTTTTATCTACTTGCAGTCTATTATTTACTTTGAATGTGTTTTCCAATAATGGTCCTACATTTGTGCTGATTCATCCTCTTGACCCTACCAGATTCCCTGAATAAAGACAGGACAGAGAGAAGAATCTATAACTCATTTAGGCCAGTGGTTCTGATGAAGTCTGCATCAGAATAGCCAAGGGCTGGGCTCTCCTGTGGCTGCCTCTGTCAGCCCTGCCCCCTGGGAACAGCCATTCCTGCCAGGTCGGGGAGGGCACTGTGGGAATGGAGCTGAGAAAGATCACTACTGGAAAATGGCCTCTAGAACCAATGATGTGGGTTCCGCCCCCAAATCCACTGGTTGTTTTTTGCTATTCTTGGGCACCCCCCTGCAACCTCCTTGGTGTGCTCGCCCATCCAAGCACTTGCGTTTCTTTCCCAGAGGATTTGGGGGGCCCCAAAGTGGTTTTACCAGCATTTGCAGAGCTGGGAGTCTGGAAACACACATCCCCCTGGGGCAGCACTTGGTCAGCCCTGACTCTGTTTGGGAGACCACAGAGGCAGGAACAGGCAGGATGAAGTGAGGGAGGAATACAATTTAAGGGTCATCCAAGAACTTCGTAGTCAAAACATTTCAAGCCGATATTTTTAAAAATCAGAATGAACGTAAAAATCTGTGATGATCCAAATCTGCATATTGTAAATAAAGACAGGATCAGTATGGCTAATATTTCCTGTAACCCCAAGGTCCAGTGCCCCTCCACAGGGCCCTACTCTGAGACGAAACATCCTCCTAATCTCCCTTCCAACCCTTCTCGCTTCTGGGGGCGCTGAGGGCTCTGGGAGAAGGGCTCGGGGTCCTTTTGATTTGGGGGTTTTCTTTAATCTCACGGAATTGAAATCCTTCCCATGCCCACCATCCTGTCTCCCCACACCTCACCCAGTCCCCAAAGGGTGCCTCTCCTGCAAGGCCATGTCACGGGACTGCCTCCTGGGATAGTTTACCCTGGGTCTCTACTGGTCCACCGAGACTCTTTTTCGGTATTGTTGGATATCTTGTGTTTTTCTTTTCTGATGATTTTATCTTCAACTCCCTTTTCCACTTTCACACAGTGGAACCCCCCCCCACTCTGAGCCAATGGGAGGGAAAGTTTCTGTGGAAAGAGTTTATTTTTCTACCCATAGTAATGTGTGTGGAGCTGGTTCTGCTGAAGGCACTAGGTTTGTATCATCTTTTTTGTTCATCTGTATAATTATGAGGATGTTTGGAGAGACTCAATTTACTTGGCTGCCATTATCTCAGGTCCCTAAAAGTCCCATTTTGGACCCCTTACGGAGAGTCTGCCGAGCCCACAGCTGTCAGCCACCAGCTGCCTCATCTTTACCTTCTCCTGAGGGCTTTCTCCTGTCCTCAGGCTGACAACATCAGAAGTAGCAACTGGGAAGCCAAGAAGTGTGCACAGACCTTAACAGTCAGAGGCTAATCTCCCTTCCACAGAAAATAATAACTTTCCCTAAAAATATTTTACAATTCATGAAGCTCCACTATGAAAATCAAAACCCTGTCAGGAAAAAGCTCTAACTACATACGTAAACAACTAAACAAATCTAAGTGGAATATAATGTGGGATTTATGTCTTTAAATTTCTTTCATTACTAGCTATATTGTAGAAATTGAAATGTGGGGAAGCTAGAATGAGAAGTGACTGCATCAGTTTCCTGGTTCATGAGTTTCATAACATACATTAAAGGTGCCATCTCCTGGCGAGAGCATTCCTATACCTGTAAAACATCGCGTGCATTTTATCTTTGTGTGCTGAAACAGGCTGCAGTAATGGCATTTGGCCCATTTATTCTAAAATAAATATACAAAATTCAAAACTCTTATCAGTTGAAAATCTGAGTCTTCTGAATAACCCCTGTGGATTATATCAATGTTAATTTCCTGGTTTTGATACTGCATGACAATAATTAAAGATGCTACCGGGGGCGGCAGGGTGATGGGTGCAAGAGGCTTCTCTGTCCATTTCTTTGCCACTTCCTGTGTATCTATAATTATTTCAAAATAAGCATTTTAGAAGTTTTTTTTTTAAAGGGTTTCCTTGAAGTGAGGAAAAGCTTTTGGTTTGAGAGATAGGGCATGCTTATCAGCTGAAATCTAAGAGGCAAACTGCTGACATATTGCTCAACAACCTAAATTCTATTGTAGGCGATGCCATCTATAAGTGACTTATAAATGGAGCAAAGCTTCAAGTGCATCTGAGAAATTGATCTGCACTGATACCCAGTGCTACATGAATTGCTGTCTCAGTACTTTAGCTGGCAATTGTTCTGGGACCACTTGCCTTAATCCTGATCTGCCATTCTGGTAAATCTTTCTGAGCATACCACCTGAATCATGCAGCAGTTGGCTAGGAGCAACAGGCTGAATAAAAGCCCCCAAATATATCATGTCCTAATCCCTTGAAATCTGTAAATGTTTCCTTGTTTGGAAAAAGGATCTTTGCAGAGGTGATTAAGGATCTTCATATGGGGAGATCATCCTGAATTATTTGGGTGGGTCCTAAATGCAATCACATGTGTCCTTATAAGAGAGTAATTCCACAAAGACACAATCAGAAGAGAAGGCAACATGAAAACAGAGCAGAAAGAGATTTGAAGATACTGGCCTGAGACTGGAGAGATGTGGCTACAAGCCAAGTAATACTGGCAGCTACCAGAGGCTGGAAGAGACAGGAATGGAATCTCCCCTAGAGACTCTAGAAAGAGCACTGCCCTGTGGACATCCTGATTTCAGCCCAGTGATAGGGATTTGGAATGCTGGTCTACAGAATCGTAAGAAGATAAAGTTCTCCTTTAAAAGACCATGTTTGTGATGATTTGTTAAGCAGCCATGGGAAACTAATGCAGCATGATGGGAGGAAGTTTGCTGGGTTGGTCCGGAACATATGGAGCCCCTTGAGACACTGTGGAGGCAGCACTAGATGAGAGTCAAGAGGACTACCTTCTTGTTGATCTCTGATGTCCCTTCTGACACAAAGATACTAGTATATTACCAAATTCTGATCCTGTTGTAACTCATGCTCAGTGGGAAAAAAAAAATGAGTCTTCTAAATGTTAAGATAAGCTTTTCTGTCTCATACTGCAATAGGCATATTCAAATACTAATTCAAGTCCATTATCTTTTCTTACCATATCTTGAATATACAATTGAATTAGTTCCAAACCTGACCTCCCCATTTCTCATTATGTTGACAATGTTTTCTAGAATACTGCAACTCAAAATGTGATCTATGGGCCAACAGCACCAAGGTCACCTAGAAATGTTAGAAATGCAGAATCTCAGGCCTCACCCCGGTCCTGCTGAATCAGAATCTGCCTTTTAACAAGACTCCAGGTGACTGTATTGTGCACATTAAAGTTTGAGAAGCTCTGCTCTAGGACTCAGGAAATCAGCAGCATCTTAAAATGACCTCACATAGCTGAGCCTACATGTAAATCCTCAGGTAATTGCCTACCAAGAAATGTCAGTGTTTAAAGAACATCTTTCTGAATGCATTGATACAGCGTCTACTTCTGCATTGGCTAGCAGAGGTCATTTTGACATAATACATACTATTAAATACATTGTAAACCCAGTTGTTTCTTTAAGAAATAAAGACTATGTCTTTTCCCCAGCTACATAATAAAAAGCAAAATACAGCTTTTATTTGTGGCTCTCTGACTGCCAGGCTTCATGTCTTTTTCTTTCAAGCAATGTTATTCTGGTGCCAGCTGGGAAGGGCAAGCTCAGCCTGGATGGATTTTTCCTTTCTTACCATTGCTTGCTTGGAAGTTAGCAGTCACACCTTCTTCTGGCACCCATTTTGAGAGCAATGTGGGTGTTCTCTGGGTTTGTAATTGCAGACTTTGTTTGGGAACAGTAATGTTTCCACAGTTCTAATTGCTGTTTGTCTGGTTCCCCAGTACCAATGTTTTCAATCTTACTGAGGCATGCCAGGCAAACTTGTCCACATTTGTTTCCTTTGTATGCAACAATGCAGCATTTTGACCTGATTTCACAAAACACACACTGCATTTCTCCCAATTTTGCCCAAATTCTTTAGTTTAGAATACTTAG